TTCATGAATGTTCATGATTTGTTATGCTTTCGTGGTCTTGCTTAGGAACCACCACACTGGGGGCGGCCTTCTTCCGCTTCGCATCCTTGGATGCCAGGTAGGCGGCCGTGGCACCCTTGATGGCCCCGCAGTTGGTGTGGCCCAGCACGAAGATGAGCTGTGTCTTCAGGGCCCCAGTGCAAAACTCAAGGCTGCCCAAGATACTGCCTTCTGCATGTGTACAGGTGTTCCCAGCATTGCGCAGCACGAAGAGATCTCCAGGCAATGCATCAAAAACGGTCTCCAAGGGCACACGAGAATCTGCGCATCCAACGATGGCGGTGTGTGGCGCTTGGCCCTTGGTCGCCAAAGCCTCGCGCATGTTAGGATGCACCTTGGCAATGGGAGCACCCACCACGAAGCGCTCATTGCCATCCTTCAGGTTCTTCAGTGCGAGCTTGGGCTCCTGAGCTGTTCAAACTCAGCTTACGGACTTAGAAGTGAGATGAACGCAGAAATTAAGATCATCCAAAATGGGTCAAGCAATCATCGGTAAGTTATTGAATCATTTCGGCAGTCCAAGGGTCCAATGTGCCATCTTGGGGCGTGCGGATCGCTCCCAAAGCCATGGAGGGTGGCAGTGACAACTGAGAAGCCAGGAGTTCAGCCTGACGAGGAGAGCGGCCCAGGAATTGCACGCGCCCCGTGTCCAAATGATAAATGCCGCCCTGGATGTCCAACTCACCCTTCCGCACCAATTCCCGCAAAGGCTCGCTGAACCTTGCATCACGAATCACATGTCACAAGCCGTTCAGATTGTTCCAAAGCCCTGCAGAAATTAATATCTCACAAATACCGTTTAAGAGGAGAAGAACCCGGCCCGGGCCCCAAAAAAGATCCACTAGTCACTGCTCTCCACTCTATAAATGCTAGATAGACCCTCCACTGACGTTCTGGTCTGGAACCTCCCACTGTCCCCAGTCGACCCCAATCATGCCCTCTGGTATCTACTTAAGTCTGATACACCCCCAAAACAACATCTTGCAGTCATCCTGAGCAGACCCCAGCAGCTTCAGCAGAAAATTCATGGAGTTGAAGACATTCACTTTCACGGCGTGGGATACTAACTGATCCTGCGATGCATTTGGACCCAGCTCCTCGCTGGTCTCTTTGGCAACAGAAGCAAGGCCTTGCAACAAACCTTCCAATGCACAACCTGAGCAGTGGTGGAACGCTGCGTTCATAGGCAGTTTCTGTGCATTTCAAAGTAGTGATTGGCTGATAAGCATGAACTTGTGGCGCTCTGATAATTCGTAAACATAATCAACTCCACTTACAGGACAACAAACCACTTAACAAACCTAAATGTTGAATGCACGGAGTTTAGCACAAACATGCTTGAACTCACCCCCACAGCTTTGAACATGTCTCGCTCGCCTGGAGCTTGGGAGGCGCCACTCTGGTAGGTGGCAGTGGCACCGGCAATGGCTCCACATTGAGTATGTCTCAAGACAAGAATCAAACGAGTGCCAAGCTTGCCGGTGCAAAATTCCAAAGATCCAACCATACTGCCTTCTGCGTGTGTGCAGGTGTTGCCAGCGTTCCTAAGAACAAAAAGCTCTCCAGGCATAGCATCAAATACAGTGTCGACCGGAACTCGGGAGTCGGCGCAACCCAGGATGGCACTGTGGGGGGCTTGGTTGTGCTTCACCAAGGCCTTTCGCATGTCCCCAGACGTCTTGCTAGCTGTCACAGCACCAACGGCGAATCGCTCATTGCCATCCTGCCAGGTGCAAGACATGTCAACCTTTGAGTAAGACTATTGTGCCTTGAACAATGTTGGATTTACTGTATCATGTTCCATGCACAAAAGCTTGAGGGCCTACCTCAGTAACAAACAAACCGAAAATCGAAACCAAAGCAGTGAAAGTAAACTGTTTGAAGAGCCAGGTGTTGGAAGCAGAACATGCATGCGTCTGTCTTCTGTACAATGATGCGAATTCCTGCCTTCAGCATCTTCAATGCCAAATCAGATGGCACTCGCTCATCAGCACCAGTGCGCACTCCGTGCACACCACGATCAGCGTCGCCCGGAACAACCATGGATGGCGGGAGAGGCATGGCACTCTCGAGCAATTCCTTTTGGGCGGGAGACTTTCCAAGGAATTCCACGGAGCCGGTCTCGAGGTGGTAGATGCCACCTTGGATCTCAATCTGGCCACTTCTCACACCCTCTCGAATGGACTGACTGAACTTCAGCAAGAAGTTCATGGTGTGGAAGACGTTGACCTGCAATGTCTCGTCTTGGCAGGTCAAATCCCAAACAAAGGCTTGCAGGAGGGATTGATCTGTGTTTCCAGTTGTCAAGATTAAGTTATACTCAAGAAAAAACTATGATTTCAATGTACGCGTCTACGTATTATTCTAATATGTATACATATGGCATACATATACATCATATATATATATCCTATGTATGTATGTGTATATATATATATGTGTATATATATACCGTATATATACAATACCAGGTGCGCTAATCACGCAAATCCAACCTTCACAGCATGAGCTGCAACCTCATCGGACGATGCACCAGCTCCCATCTCTTCAGCGGCCACTTGTGCCACAGAGCCAAGGTCTTGGAGCAAGCCTTCCAAGGCACATCCAGCCTTGCAAGGGCCGATTTGAGACTGACGCGCCGTCCCTTCTTCACAGAATCACAAATCATTGACAACGCTAACACCGAGCTACTGGGCCATCATTTCTGGATGGGAGAGCAAGCGTGATTCAATGCATGTTCTCGACTTGAATATACCACACCGTATACCCTTCTTCACTATAGCACCAGGTCGAAATGAACGAGGAAATATCACCTGAACCGTTCTGGAATTCTTGAAACGGCTTTCCGAGCATCTCTGGCCAGAGGACCCCAGACCCCTGCCTTCTTTCCTGCTCCACCTGCATCCAAGTATGTCTTGGTCGCACCATAAATCGCACCACACTTCGTGTGGCCGAGAACCAGAATAAGACGACTTCCCAACTTGCCGGTGGCAAACTCCAGGCTTCCAACCTTGATCAAACACACGGCTGCACCTTTTCATCAACAAGTTGAACCCGTTGAAAGCAATTCCAAAAGGTGCAGGAAAGTCACCATACTGCCTTCGGCGTGAGTGCATGTGTTTCCTGCATTGCGCAGAACGAAGATATCGCCTGGACAGAACTGGTTCGAAACACAAGCAAAGTCAATCCGCTTTGGCAGTTGCTCCAGTTTGTGAACTCCCTACCTCAAATTTGAGATTAAAGATGCTCCCAGCATCCTAATATGTCAGTCAGTCCATTGCGTGTCTGCTTTCTTACTTGAACAACTTCTTTGCTCCGGCCTGGCATGGCATCAAAGATCGTCTCGAGCGGTGCCCTCGAATCTGCACAGCCGATGATGGCAGTGTGGGGTGCCTGGCCTTCATCCACCAGCTGCTGACGAGCTGCATCTTTGGTCGCCGAACCCCAGGGACAGCCTCGCACAAAGCGACGGTTGCCGTCCTCACAGGTTTCCGGCACAGTGCTTAAACATGCTTAAACCAATGACTCAAAGGTACTCAAATCAACCAGAAAGACGATGTGTCCACCATTGATTTGGCTGTTTGTGCTGAGAGCAAGGGCACAAGAACCATCCAACAATGCATCTAAACTCATCCACCCACCATCCCAAAGAAATCCAAATCACCACCATGTCCACATCCATCCACCATCCCATGTCCTTCAAGAGCTTCAAGGCATCCTCTGGTGCCATGGGCGGATCTGCCGTGGTGCGGACCGGGCGCTCGGCCGGCGGCTGGGAGCACAGTGTGAAGGCATCAGCGATCTGGCTGAAGAAGGCCATGATACCTGGGACGTTCCCCGTTCGCCCGCGTTCGCCCGCGTTCACCCGTTTGCCACGTTCAACCAAGCCCTACAAGCCATGACTCCACATATGGGCCCTATTAGCCTGCAGATTTGGGGTTGCTTTTGACATGTGTATATATATATATATGTATATATCTCCAATCAACTTTAAACCCATACATAAAACAAAGCACAATCATCGCAAAATAAAGGATATAGGTCAGAAGCTGGTGGACAAAAAGATGATACTGGTGTATATATATATATATAATATTGATATATCTATATACAGTATGTTAATATATGCTTATGATATGATACACTGGTTCTGGATGATTCTGGTGTCTTCCCATCTTGAGACAAACTGACATTGATGGACGTGGGCGATCCAACCTTTTGTGTTAGGTCTGCTCATTCCAACAAGGATGTGTTCCTTACTGATCAATTGATTCTACCTCTGGACACTACAGCTCAAGTGCTTAAGAGAATCACGCTCCACACAAGCCTCTTCACTGATCCGGGAACCTCTCAAGTCCACTGACTGAGGCCCGCACTGAAGTGCGGGAATCAAACGAGGTTTTGTCCACAGATTGAGCAAGTGCTTTGGGCGAGCAGCAAAAAAGTTCAGCTTGATGTGCAGAAAACAAACCAAACCAAACCAACCAACCAACCAACAAGCAGCAACTCCCCCACCTCGAAGACCTATGGAAGAAACAACCGATGAAAACTGATGAATATGCGTTGAACGGAAATATTTCATGAAGTCTTTCTGGCCAATTCAGGCCTTTGCACCCAAACATCGTCGCTGCGATTTATTGAAAGTTATTTCTTCAATGTGTAAAAACCCTGTGAATCTCATGCTCGCTCATGCCCGTACCATCTTGCACCATCAATGCCATTGAACTCTTCCGTTGAGGTGGCCAATGGTAAAATCCTCGATGGCACGTGGCTCAATGCCTGAAGGAGTTTTTACAATGTTTCATTGGAGCACAATTCAAACCCTTGATGTTCCAATTCCAACACATCATGACTTTGGCCCTTTGGCTGAATCAGCCACTCTCCAAACAAATAGTTAACACCCCATGAGCCGTACTCGGTCGACTCTACCCAGTCGACATCACTCCCTCGGTCTCCGTCGGTCACTTGGCCTCCAACGCCAACTTTTGAGCGCCGGGGCCCCGGTCGCCGCCACGCAAGCGTTCCAAGAACCTCCCGTTCCGGGACTTCCACCCCATTGAGGGGAGACCAGGGAGTCTGAGGGTAATTAGAGCGTTGTTCGCGTGACGTTGGCTTCCTGTTCGCACCCGTTCACGGCCGTTCGCAACTTTTCAACTGTGACCGAGAAGAGCGTGATAGTGCAGGAAGTTTTTTGGATGGAAGCGAAGTGGCAGATTCGTCTGACATAGCGTAGAAACGTTATGTTTAAGTGTGGAGGATGATATTGCTGCGCAGATGCAGCGTTTTTGTGAGATCCTCAGTGTCCTTCGTTGATCGGCGTTCACAGGGTGGTCGTCGAAGTTGAATTTTCATTACAGACGCAGGGAATCATGAGGTTGCGACGTTTGGTGGAGATGAATGTCGCTGTGCCATTGGGATTGTCAACGGCTATGGTTTTGAGGGGCTGGGATTATGTGAAACTGCTTGGCAAGGCTGCTTGATGTTGTCGCTCTGATGAGACTTCCTGCTTCACTTTTAAGGGAAGACTGGAACGAAACGCTCGTTTTGGAGACTTTGACATGTGACTTTTGGAGGAAACCTCGTACAAAACGCTCGTTTTGGAGAGTTGAAGCTTGGCTTGACTTTTGGAGGAAGTCTCGTACGAGCTTTCATTGGAGGAAGCAAGAATGTGGCACAAGAGTGTGTCCCAAAAGAGTGTCTCCTACTAAAGGAGCACCCAAAAGTCAGAGTGTCCTAAGAGTGTTGCACAAGATTATCCGACAAGAGTGTCCCACAAGAGTGTCCCAAAAGAGTGAGTGCAACATGTCGGACGAGTGTGTCCTGCAAGAATTTCCCAGGAGTCTTCTACAAGAGTGTCTCGCATAAGAGTGTTCTACAATTACAATGGTGTCCTGCAAGACTGTCCCACAAGAGTAAGTGTTGCACAAGAGTGTAGCACGAGAGTGTCCCACAAAGTTTTCCACGAGTGTTCTACAAGAGTGTCCCACAAGATCGCACAAGAGTGTCCTACAAGAGTGTCCCGCAAGAGTGTCTCCTATAAAAGCGTCTGACAAGACTGTCCCAATAAGAGCGTCAAACAATGTTTGGCCGTTTGTTTTCGAGTGCGTTTGTGCATTTGGGTTCGTGGGCTCCATCTTGTTGTCCGAAGGAAGCTCCTCAGTATGTAATACGTCTTCTGATTTCTTGTGGACAAATAATAGATTGCTACAGTACGTGCACCATTCTCACACTCACGTGTTGGACTGACGCACGTTGTACTTGCAAGCCTGATTGATTGAGGCGACGAAGTGACTAAATACGCAAACTATACAGACCCTCTCAAAACATGTTTTCTTGATATGACGATCTTGTCATCAAATGTCTATGGTCAAAAGGGAAACACACCATGCTAGTATACATATATATATATATCATATTTAACATATATAAATATACTGTATGTATTTGATCGACGACACTTCACTTGGGTGGTGTTCACATACTCTTGCAATGTTTTGCAGTTGCCACAACTATCAGGGAGGGTTCCCTTGTTGATGGATTTCACCACTCCAAACACCTGCCTTGACTTGAAGGAGCCGATGTTCACTCAGCTGGTCATTTCGATTCCGGCCGTTGAGCTAGCCATCACCCCCCAAGGAATTCGCCTTGTCATGTTGGGCATGATGGCCTTCTGAACCTTCGGAGCCCCACCGGCTGTCTTCCACAAGCCTCAGCTGGGCGAGCATAAACTAATCATGATTCCAATGGGTCCAGTGGAACCTTTGGAAGCCCAACATTAGATGTTTCATTGAAAGACGGAGCTGAAGCCAACCAGGACGAGAACATAGGCGCGGACAGCAGTGCTGACAGATCGTGTGAATGATCGGCTGGGCATCAGAAAGCTGCTCGGCTCGGGGCAAAATGCGAACGTATCGACTATTGTAGTTTGCTTTTGTGGCACATGTTTAACCTTTGGAATCCTGAAATCAAGCAGCCAGCTGGACAAAACATGAAGTCACCTGGCACTGAATCTGTACAGCCATTGCGTGCAAATATTAAGTAGCATGTTTCTTTGGGGTTGGTTTACAAACCCCAACAAACTGCCAACCCTGTCATGGTGGGCAGTTCTGGCAGTATTCATTGTGCCTTCCTTTTGTATCAGCCGGATGAACTTCCCCTACCCTCCAGGCCTCTTCCTCGGCCAGAACCAGGTCACCCCGACCATTGGCCACTCGCTTCACTGAGGCATCTGCGTCGAACCTGCGTCCCGAACTTGCCACTGCCACTCTCGACTTCGAACGAAACGATTTGCGTCAAATCAGGACAAAAACAAACAACTGAAGAACATTTAGTTAGTGGGGTGCATATTATGGGTGCATTTGTGTCTTTGGGCTTCTATCTGTCCTGGCTTGTATGGGTCTAACTTCACTTTGGAGACATCCACTTCTCTTCTGGAGAGTGTATGGTGCTTGACCAGCATGAACTGCTCAACCCAGCAAAGCTCCTTTGAGTGATTGTGTCAATCATGAGCAACTTCAAGCACCAACAAAGTTTGACATCTTGTCTTTTTGGGATTGGATGTCAAGCATTGCATCAGCTCCACATGGCTTGCCACGTGCCTCGCCAATAGAATGAGCAAGAGCACACGCTCTCTGGTGGCTTTATTGGAGCAGTCCTGGAGTCCAAAGAACTGATGCCCTCCCAAGGAATCTTATGATCTGCACTACATGCCGAACAAAAGCTGCAATCATAAGCTCATTGCTTGTTCCTGACAAGGCCAGCAAGTTGTTGGCCACGTTGGCCATGCTGGAAGTTTCAGAGAGGCTGGGGAGCTGTTGGAAGTTTCAGAGACTCAGTGAGTTGGATCTGGGAAGGACGCTTCAATCAAAACATCCGAACAAGCACCAATGACCAAAGCATGCGCAGAGTTGGAGAGAACGACCCCTTCTTTCTAAGGGCTAAAAACTTCAGACTTGTGGGAAAAGATGCTGCTGTGGGTGGCACTAAGAATTGCCTCAACGGCCATAAGGCTCTGGCCCACAATCTGTCCCGAGACATACCATCCCCACCCTTGCGTAAAACTGCTCAATCCTCCGTGCTCAGGAGGTCTTGTCCAAACTTCTTGTGCTCCAAAATCTTTTCAGCCACCTGCCCCCAGAAGAGTGTTTGAACACTACGATGCGGCTTCGGATCGTACAAAACCAAATGGGGGAACTCTTGGTGGCTGTTGGGTATACGGTATGGTTGGGTTTTGATTGTCCACCTCATCTCTTTTGGAGGTTTAAAGTTCACCTTCTCTCCACAATTGGCTCTTTTGTGGTCTTGGTTTGCCTTAAAGACATGAACCAGCTCGTGATACGGCCCCATTTCCCGTAAAAAGAGGTCTACCTGATCAAATGATTCGATAACTCATTGGGGATCCCAGGACCAACTATTTGGCAAGTGAGCACCCAACTATTGGCGACTGAGCCATGGCCTTGCCCAGTAAGACCACAGTCTTCTCGCGGGTCACGGCATTTCGCGCCGTCTCCTGCAGCGCAGCAGTGCTTGTGCGGGTCATTTTGATCCAGTTTCTTCCCAGAAATGAAGGGATCCTTGTTTGAGGTCAAATATACAGTAACTCTGTGACACTGTGGTGACTGAGAGGAAGAATGTGGAGGTCTATGAGTCTATGCAGATTCCTGAAGGAATTGTTTGAAGTCCATTCAGTAGAATTCTTGGGGTGGTGGGAAAGAGCGCTTCCGTACACCTTGGCAGCTAAGCGCTTCCCATTGATGATAGTTATGCAGTACCCCGAGTCATCAGTCTAAAGTATCTCTGCATCTTGATGAATGCTTGAACATACCATAATCATTTGCAATTTTTCCGAACACTTTATACATATATAATATATATATATATACCACCCGCAAGATCAAGCCTCGTCACAATTCCCAATGTTGACTATGTTGGTAAAAAAAATACTTAAAAGGAATCTCCTCACCACATGAAAATCTCCTCACCACACGGACACAACGTCTGGTTACACCTTCGGCGGTCCTCGGGCGAATCACTCTGCAAGGTGCAGCAATAGGCGCCCTCAAAGCCATCAAGCAAGCTATGAGGACCTTGCTTGGCAAGTCGTTCAGATGTGACCCCGGCTCAAGATCTGAATGACAAATGTCTGGAATCCAACAGTTCTGAATCCCTACATCTTGGGAACTGACGTTTCATGATAAATCTATGATCTATGTAAAATGAAATGATCATCCATGACAATCTAAGAAAGCAACTTAGGCATCAAACATAATGCCGTTTTGTGACAAAAACCACCAAACGAACGGTTTTCTCCCTCTGGATGGCCCCAAAACGCTGAGAGTTTCACACAGATCGCCGAACCGCTGCACCAACGCCAGCGCGGCCCTATGCCCAGGGTCCTTGGAAAAAAATAACAAAGGAAAACACGGGCAACAAAGGAAAACGATCATTGAAGTGGAAATAGCATGGAAGGGACTAACTGTGGGGAAGAAGGCGGAAAGGCCTCACACGGATATGTTTCGAACAATAATGAACAATATGGCCTTGAGCATGGGAAGCATCTGCAACATTCTGGAGCAACGGCCAAAGAAGAGTTTCTGTATTCTCCCAAGTGTCTTTTGCCACCATGTACTTGCTTCTTGGCCGGGATTTCTTAACTGTGTGCAATCAGCGATTTCAGCAACTCATGTTCATTCACCAGGGAATGACGTACAATGTCTGCGTTTTCCTGACAATCCGGAATCCCGGTCCACCTTTTCCGGATCTCAAGTTGTCAAGCCAACCGCGAAGGACAGCTGACTACCCCCATCCAGCTCACCCAGCTCCTCATTTTGGTCTTTCTCACCTGTCCGAAATCTTCAAGCATCTGCCAGGATAACTGATTTGCCACGCTGAGTGACTGTGCCCCCAGCAAATCAGTGGCCGTCCCGGAGTCATGACAAACTGGATGCTCAGCGTGCGCACGCACTTTATTAGGAGATACCTCTTCTTTCAGGCAGGACCAAGCAACAACACAAGAACCAGTGCTATTCAACCACCCAAATTAAATGTGTGTTGTGTGTGCATGATTGTGCATGTGTGTGTGTGTGCCACCCTCCGTTCACAGGAGGGTTCCCTTACACCTTATCAATTTTTCCACAAAGCAGAGGCGTCAGACTCGATGCACCTACCTGACGCAACGAAGCTCTGGTGTATCGAGGGATGGGGGGACTGATCATCCCCCCGCATCTGCTTCGTGCAGTGACAATACACCAATTTTCCTTGCGGTTTTTTGATTCCATGGTCCTTTCATGATAGTCCCCAAAACCAGTTCTGCAGCCTCACCACCGCCGAGCCGCTGACGTTGTCGTGAGTTCCAACCAATGTTCAACATTTCAAGTGAGCTGACTTTGCCTTTCTGTTCCCTGATCCCTTTCCGTGTGGATTCTCTCACTGGATGAACCTCTATCTAAGTGTGTGTGTGTCTGTCTGTCTGGGGATGTGTGCTGTATACAATGTAGCGAAAGGAGAAACCAAGCATGAATCAAACAAACAAAAATTGCAGTGACTGGACGATCCTCTTCGATGCTTGGTTTATCTGAAACGCTTAGGCGCAAAGGAACGAGGCCACACCTGTGATGCTCATCAGCATGGCAGGGAAGAGGGACTCAATGTATGGCACGAACTCCATCTTCATGGCCTGATAGGTCATTTGTCCGTCAACCGGTCAACCAAAGAATGGCAAAACAAAAGCCCTAGTGCAAACAACTGGTTCATACTAGTTCCATCCAACATGTTCTAGGCAGCCTTCTACAACTGATAAAGGTGTATGTGAGCTGATTCGACCTCAATAGGCTCTGACTCTTGACTAGAAAATTAGGAAAAATAGGAAGGTGATTGGGCGCTTGGAATAAGGCCCCTTCCCCTGGCGAGCGGCCTGCGGCATGGTATCCATGAGTTCCAGGAATCCTCTCCTCCGGCTTCCAGGCGCTTGTGCACCAACAGGTCCGTTGAGCCGGGTGGTTGAGGGAGAGTGGTTGAGTTTGAAACCATTTTGACACAAAAAAAAGGGATGCACTGGGGTGAAGTTGATATCGCAGCCACCCCGCTAGGGGCCGAAACAGAAAGTAGAATACATAGGTTTTGGGGGGTGCCTGTTTTCGTCCCGGTTCAGGCTGAGGGGCGTTTTTGAAGTAAAAAAGGGGATCCTTAAAGAAGTGAGGCGCGCTTGCCTGCTGTGTGTTGCGAATCAGTGAGCAAAGATGTAGCCGGAAGTGGTGAAGTTGATATTGCAGCGACGTGAGCGTGCAAGATGAAGTGATTGGCGAACATCGGGCAAAGAGTACTTGCATGGGGCGAAGTCGACATCGCAGTCACCCTGATAGGGGGTTGAAACAGAAAGTAGAATACGTAGGTTTGGGGGGAGTGCCCTTTTTCGTCTTGGTTCAGGGCGTTTTTTGAGGTAAAGAAGGGCACCCCTGAGGTATATTATGTGCGTTTGCTTGCTGCGTGTCGCTAATCAGTGGGCTGGCTTTCGTGATATACTCATATACTGTATATCTGTATATTGATTGAGATAACCCGTTCTCAAACTCCACGGCTTCTACGGATTGCACGTCACATCCGAACCGTGCCTCACTGGCCAGTGAGCATCCGTGGCACCAGCGCAAAGCTCGCCGATGAAGGTGGCTGCGAGGTCCTGGTCGGTTGCGCCCCCTAGTCTGGCACCGAAGCACCATCCCTGGCTGAGGAATCTTCCATGAAAAATTAATATATAACAAGAAAGAATGCATATATATATGCGAACGGATGAAAAGCGTGCCCCTGGCCCCGTTCTAGCCCTTAGCCTAACATGAAGCTCGCGCGCTAAAGCTCCTTTTTACCTGGTTGGGCACTTGAGCCAAATGTGTATGGCAAGTACCTATATAGAAGCTATACTGAGACCTCATCTCTATTGACACCCCCCACATCCGTGCTTCGAGGGGGAAGGGAGATGAGCAAGTGCATTGGAGGTCAACCAGTATGTCCTATTGATCTGAATTAGCAAACGATCTTGCATTCGCTTGAAAGTTGGGTCAAACAGGTAACGGAGCTACAAACGGAAAACGTGCATCCACCTGTGGTATCCTGCGATTACCGATGGTGTGACACATAATCCTATTTCACTCCCATGATGCCAAAATGGTCATCATGAATTACCCAAGATCCCTCAGTACTTGAAGTACCGGAAGTAGTATGTCGGTATGACCCCGATGCTCAACCATTCGTGAGTTGTCGCATGTAGTCAGCTCCGACAAAGCCAATGTAGTCCTTGATGAGCTCAACGTTCCTTGGGTTTCCCCTCCGGATCTGCTCCTCGAAGGACTTCAACTTCTGTGTTTGAGTATCGGATACCTCTATGCCGTAGTAGCGGCACGCAACGAGGATCTCCTTTGTGACATTCTTCCGCTCTGACTTGATGGCGGGGCTAATGTCGATGAATTTGTAAGGAGCGGCACCTTCATCGTCTGGTTTCTGGTAGTAACTATATCGGCTCGCTCCGAAAGTCTTCTTAATCAAGCGTCTGATGAAATTTGAGATGAATGCCAGTTTCTCGATGATCTCTTCCTGGGTCTCAGATCTTTGAGCCTTCGGATCACTCATGTTACGCCGGGTGCTGCCGACCTCTTTGAGATACTTGTGGCTAAGCCCGCAGCGGATTGCAGTGATCATCATCGGGTGAATGACGTGGGCATGAAATTCATAGATCTGCCACGCTTCTGTTGCATACGTGTCGTTGGTCCATTTGCTCATGCCTACGACTTCGGCTCTCTGAAGGCGTCTTGGAAATCCAGTATCTGGATCATTCGGTACTAATGGCCATCTATTGAATGGAGTATCATGCCGCTGTCCATCGTCGAACTTTCGCAGTACGTCTTCACGACTCTCAAAGCAATTGATGTCGAACGTTGCGTTGGCCAAGCTCTTGATCAACTTCATCAACCTCAGATCAAATTGCTGTGTGACTGCAAAGTTGTGGTCGATGGGGATCGCAGCTTCTTGCGGCAATTCGTCAATTGCGAAGGGGAAAGGCTGTGGAAGTTCATTCCCGTACCCATCTTGAGGGACCTCCCGATATTCGGGTTCGCCTTCGGCTTCGTCCGGTCGTTCCTTCATGATGATAGGAACTTCCTCGTCTTCCTCACCTTCGGACTCCTCGACGTCAATGACTTCTTCGGCTGTCTTGCGTGCATTCTTGATGACTTCATCGATGTTTGCACCTGCGGAAGAAGTTGCTTCACCGGAAGAACTGGCTGGCACGTCTCTCGGAGGTGATCGTTGATTGCGGTCCCTTGTCTCCTTGGGTACCACATGCGTGAGCTTCCCATTTGCGATCAGAACCGCCACGCAGTGCGGACATATCGTCAATCGCACATCGACTTCGCCAAGACAGTTGGGACACGGTCTTGAGTCATAGTCTTTCATTGCTCGGCGGTATACGATCTCCTCAAAGATTTCCTGCCATTCGGTGCTATCGTACTCTGGGTAGACACCGCTCTCCTCGACCATGCTCAGCAGCTTTGTGATTTTGGCGTCGTCCTCGGAGTAAGTATCATCCTGGACTTCAATCGCTAAGCTCTCAAGCTTTTGATAGCGTGGAGTCATGGTCGGGTTTCCGTATTTGGACTCCAGAACAAGGTAGCTTCCAGGGTCGGGTTCTCTATTGAGTAACCTGATCCATTCGATTTCCTCAGGCTGTCCGGGTTCTGCATTGTCGCATTGCAACCATGCCCCTTTAACCTCATCGAAGGGAACGACGTCCTCAACCAATAGAGATCCAGTCGCTGAGATGAGAAGCCCGTACTCCTGCAGTTTCGACACCGGAATGTAGAGAACCACCGGGCGATCACTCAATGCGACCTTACGACCCAGCCAAGGTTTTCCCTTGTAGCCCTGCTCCCAGGCCCATGGCGGAAAACATGTGAAGTGGATAGAATCCCTTCCCGATGTACCGAGACCTCCTGGCACTAGCCCCCGTCGCATGATTGAAGTCAGCGCTCCAAGATTGGTAGCGTGAAATGCAGTCACCATGGATAGGGCCATGTCGTTGGTCATTCTCGATCCAATGTGGTCGATGTTGATGGTAACGTCATAACCTCCACCGTCCGACGAGTGTGCTGAGGTTGCTCTTACAGCCACGGGAAAGCACCATCCATCGCTATTGTGGAGTCTTCCTTTGGAGATTCCCATGCCCTTGAGCTCGTCAATCCATTCCTTCTCCATCGGATCATCAGGATCATTGAGTTCATCAGGGTGAACGCGAACTGCCAACATTTGGAATCTGATCCTCTTGGTTATGCGGAAACACTCATAGTTCTGGTCGAGGTACTTCTCCAAACGCGCCTTCTTGGTCACGATGTCAATGTTGCCATAGTGATAACCGTCTTCCCAAACTGCGTTATCACCTAACAGGTCTTCCCATGACACCCATGCGCCTTCATCGCATTTGATTGGTGTGAGTCTTCCTCCTGTTCTGAACTGGCGTCCAATTCGATGCCTCAACTTCGCTCCCAATCGGCGACTCAGGGCCTGACTCGCTTGGCTGTATTCAGGTACTCGACAGTCTGGGGTCGGATACTTGAGGTTGCCGTAGTCGGAGTTCTGTGCAGCGAAAGTGACTCCGTTGATCGGTACTAGCTCAACTTTCCCGATCATCGTCATGGGGTCGATCGGCTTGTATCCCTTCTCCCTCCTTGTCGGTAGGGGGTAAAATTGATGACATGCCTTTGGTTTGAGGGAGCTGGAGTGCACAAATGCCCTCTCAACAAGCTCATACACCACCCTCATATCCCTAGGGCCAACTTCCGCAAGCTTCCGCCCATTGTAGGAATGTGTCCCTCCTTCGACTCCATCGGCACTTTCAATCAAGGTGAACCCGTCATGGTCAAACATTGTCACGACTCTTGCTTTCAACATTTCTTTTCGCCTGAACTCGCTGTCGACCTTCCTATCTGGAGTAGGCGATGCTCTCTGCTTCTTCTTCTTAGGCTCCTCTGCTGGATGTCCGGATGGTACATCGTCGGGTGCAACCTCTCCCTTCACTCTCTTTTTCCAATCGCTCAGCACTGAGGTGACTGTGGGTGAAGATGAAGGGATCTTCTCGCAATTGAGAGTTGTGTGTCCCGACTTCATGCAGTGGATGCAGAATTCTGCTTGCCCGATCTTCTTCTCGAACTCGTCGATGGCTTGCAGTATTGATGTCTTCGGATCGGACATGTCAACGTCTTGCTCCTCCCTCTCCTGCTCACCCTCAGTTTCCATATCGACACCTTCGGCCTCGGGCTGGTCAGTAGCTTCTGCTCCCTGTTCTGGTTCTTTCCCAATTTCGAAGAAGTGGTCGATATCGAATTCAGGAGGCGGCATGGTCCTCATGCGAACGAGAATCAGTGCCACGTTTGCCGCCTCTTCAGAGTGCGGGTCCAATGTTCTGATCATCGATCGCTTTCGATTCTCATACGTTGTCCTGTCGTACAGCGATGCAGTGACGCGCTTGATGGATTCTTCTAATCCCGTCCTCAAAGCCTCAATGTCACCCCATCCTACGAACAGGTGTTTGAAAAGTTGAGCAACTTCTAACATGCCCAGCAGCGCTTCCACCATATCACCTACCCGTTCCTCCGAGGGATCATCTCCGAACATATTTCGGAATACCTCGGG